TCCTCCTCCTCCTCCTCCTCCTCCTCCTCCTCCTCCTCCTCCTCCACCTCCTCCACCTCCTCCCACATGCAGAGGTAAAAGAGACATCCTGGTTTTCAATAAACGAGGACACTGCATCCCACAGCTCTGGCTTAGGAACACTGTAATACCCCGATGTCAGGTCGTTTCTCTCTTTAACTTGCTTGCTTCATGAAACACAGCTGGATCAATGACTTCATTTGGATCTGAAGACTAAATTACAGGTAGGTGTGAATGCCATGATGGCTTAGGTGCCTGAAGAGCTGAGTGCTGCTCCTCTGGGCCGGACACAAACCTCTCGGGACTGGCTCACTCGCACTTGGCATTCGGAAAGAGCCCCTACTCAGTTTTGTTATATTTGCTCCGTTTTCTATAACATTTCCTTTCCTTTCTGTGTTCGTTTTGCTTTTTCTTGACACTTAAATACTGAGTTTCTAAACCTACGTTTTCAGCAGCTCCAAAAGGTGTTTTGTTTGTTTGTTTTTTGTCTTTACTATTCTGTCCCCGTGTTCAAAGTCCCTAGCGAGCTATTTCATATTTGTTAGGTGATAAAATTGTTAGATATAAGAGTCATAGCCTTAAATGAAGCAGGCCAGGCTTCCTGGTGCCTCTGCCTCTCTGTGCTGGGATAACAGCCATACCCTCCATGCCCAGCTTGTGAGATGCTGGGGCTTTGAACCCAGAGCTACGCAGGTTATGCAACTACTTGAGCAACATCCCTAGCCCTGCCCTGACATTTCTAAAAGTTGGTTCCAGGCATTCTCCCTTTGATATTTGGATGTCGCTGGCTTTTTCCACTGCCCTCTAAGAGGAAGGATGCACATTTGGTTGTATACATGTGGACCTATGCTGTAGAAAGTTCCTGGTTTCAGACTTAGGGAGAGAATGAGTCTTGGTGTTGGAGGAGGAAAATCAAGGTTCCTTTTGGAACAGCAAGAGTCTGTTGTGTCCGTTGATCTGGTTTGAAACCCGAAGGCAGGGTTTCATACCCTGTTCTTGTGGTTCTGGAAGGCTTAGCTTTGGCTAGCCCTGGGTCACCATCCCCAGCGTGGGAAAGTTCTATGTGATTTCTGCTGTGAAGTACACGGCAGTAAGTGACCATTATTCTACTTCACTCTTTCATTTATTCTTGCTGCAGCTGAAGGAATACGAGGCCCAGCACCGTCAGTCATCTGCCTTGGACCCTGCAGACTGGCCTGATGGCTCCTACCCGACGCTGGATGGCTCATCCACCTGCAACGTGAGTCCATGTCCCTGAGCGTCTTGACCATTTGTGCTGGTCAGGGTCAGCCTAAGCTGGCTCAACCTTTTCGTTTCTTTCTAAGGTCTCTTTTCATAGACCTCTCCTCCTGGTACTATCTCAGCTGAGTCAGAATCCTGTCGTTCAGGCTGAGCTTCTTGGACTTTGTAAATGATGGCTAAATATGCAGAGCAAACAGCACTACCACGTTAACCAGCTTTGAGCATTCAATTCAGTTTCAGTAAGTGTGCTCACATTGCGGGCCATGGTCCACTTCTTCCCACACAGAATTTCTTCCACAAGCATCGATTGCTTCCACCCCCAGGCGCTGGCTGCCAGTACTGTACTTTGTGTCTCTTAAAAGTGGAGTTGCTCCATGTTTGTGTTGGTCCGTCCTGTGTCTGTTTGATCTCGGCACCCCAGCATCAACTGCAGATTCCGTTTTAGTTTACCCACACATCTATTGATAGGCACAATTTATAGGGCAGTGCCGCCCTTTAAATATTGTGAACAATGCTAATTAAATACCTCGGGCTACACTCTCTGCTTTGTACGGAGTTGAATAGAGTTCTATGAATTTAAATATATGGCCGAAGACTCAGAATAACTAGTAATTCTGCATTTAACTCTCTGACAACTTCTGTATGTTTTCGACAGTAACTGTAAACCACACTGCCTGCAGTGTATCTGTGTTCCAAATTCTTTCTCACTAACACTTTTTACTTTATTTTTTTCTAGTTTCTTGATCATAGCTGTGAAAATGGGATTCATGTGTCTTTCTGGTTTGCGTTTGACAAATAATTGATTATCAAAGTTGAATATCTTTTCCCGTGATCTCCAGCCATTTGTGCGTCTTTGGGGAAAGGTTTATTCAAATCCTTGGTACTTGTGACCTGTGACCCATGATCTATTTTTTTGTTTGTTTGTTTGTTTAGTTTTTTATAATGCAACAACAACAAAAAAACCTTTGTTATTTTCACCCATCCTATATGGGTGGCTTTTTTTTTACTATGTTGATGGTATTTTTGATACTGATGTTCTTAATTTCAAAATTCTGTTCTCATCATTTTCCTATTGCTCATGCCTTGGGTGTTATATTCATGCCATCATTGCCAAAACAATGTGGAGGTGGTGACAATGATATCACCCCGTTTTCTGCTGATGGTTTTGTAGATTTTAGCACTTACTTTTTTAAAAAAACCACATTAAGTTAAAAACTCATCTGCTTGTGGCTATTCAGTTTTCCAAGATCTCTCTGCTGACATTTTCCCATTAAATGGTGTTGGCATCCTTTTTGAAAATTAAGTAACCACCCTTATGTGGGCTGCTTCTCGTACGATCTGTTCTTTTACTGGCATCTGACTGATTACTGTAGCTTTGCAGTAAGTTTTGAACTTGTAAAATGGGACTCTTTCAATTTTGTTTATCCCTTTAAATTATTTATATTTTTAAATTTTGTGTTTGTGTCCATGTGCACATATGCATGTAGTGCTCACAATGGCCAGATGAGGGCGCTGCATCACCCGGAACTGGAGTTACAGGCAGTTGGGAGCCACCTGACTCCCTGTTGGGAATGGAATCTGGTTCTTCTGCAAGAGCTGAAAGTTCTCTTAAGCCCTGAGTCATCTTCCCAGACTCTATTTAATTTTAAAAGCTTGATGTAACTATTTGAAATCCCTTGAGATTCCTTATGAATTTTAGGGTGGATTTTTATATTTCTACAAAAGTTGCCATTAAGATTCTCATTAAGAGCAAAATAGAAAATTTTCTAATCCATGAACATGGAAAATCTTCCCATTCATTTATGTCTTTTTAGTTTCTGTCAGGAATATTTTGCAGGTTTCGGTGTGTACGCTTTGCTTTTTTTCATTATGTCTACTTCTGAGGTTTCATTATTTTTAGTGCTTTCGTAAATAGAATCATTCTTTTTTAATCCCCTCCACCGACTGTTTATTACAAAGCACACAAAGCAGCTTTCTCTCAGTGTGTTGGGCTTGTCACCTACCGCTTTGCTGGTTTGGTTTGTTTCCTCTGATCGTGGGCACATGTCCATGCGCCCCTGTGATCTGACGGTTTTCTCTGCAGAAGATTGTATTACCCACAGATAGAGACATTTTAATGACTTTCCCCCATTATATCATTTGAGACTGTTTTAATATGACCAAATGATACCTTTTCAACTAGGAGTCTCATGATGATTCCAGGAATTGGAATAAACTTGTCCTGCACAGCGCCATCTTCAAACAATATGGAGCAAGAATGGAGGGAATTGCCTTGTCTCAAAGTGTAGAGCTTTGTTTGGTAGGTCATCTCCTCCTGATTGTTGGAAGCCACTCCTCACTCATGATCTTAGGTTTTCATCTATACCCTACATAGGCAGTCTTTCTGAAACAAAGTTCTCTTTTTCAGCCATGTTTTATAAAAAGCCCCATGCTTCCTTATTCTGTATGTCACAGACTCCATACATTTTTGGCACACTCAGGGCCCGGTGTGATCTGAACTTGGTCATTTTCTCTGACCTCACCTTTACTTCCATGCCCAGTACCCTTCATTTCAGCCACACCAGTGCCCATGCCCATAGCTGAACTAACCCTGGGCTTTTCATATTTCTGAGTTTTAACCCCTACAATTTTTTCTACCCAAAATGTGTCCTCCATTTTCCCCCTGCTGCAAGTGTGTGCATTCTTCACGGTGAAGTCCAATTCTTAACTTCCTCTATAAAACTTCCCTTAGCCTCCCACAGCACATTTATTGCTTCCTATTTCATGCTTTTGTTGAGCCAGATTTAATACATCAACCCTCAGCTGTTATCCCCGAGGGTGAGAAATAATAGTACCTCTCTCAGGCCCCTTGGTAGCAGCAGGCCCTTGAGCAAGGCAGACATGCTGTGCTCTTTGCCTCTGTGGGGAAAGCCTACCCCGGTGTCCAGCTCATTTAAGCAAAGCTTTATTTACCTAGTCTAGTGTCCATCTTCCTTGCTCCTCCAGGGGCGTGCTTTGGAGCCTTGCAGCTACAGATTAGTCTTGACTTTGCTTTGTCTAAGCAGCTAACGGTACCATATCAGAAGTAAATAATCCCTTTCACTCCCTTCTTGTTTCCACTTTCCCAAACAAACACCAGATTTCCATTGCAGCTCAAGGACCATGCATTTTAAAGCCATGCCAGTCTTGCTGAGAGACAAAAATGGTACCATTTATAATAATAAATATGTCATAGGCTAGCAAGCCTTGGATCCTGAGACTATGAGGTCATCCAAGAACCATATCCATAGTTTTAAATATGACCCTGGGTCTCTCATCCCAAATTCAAAAGACTAGTAGTATATATTATGAACCCAATGAATCATAAAGAATAAACGCAGGAACTTGAGAGGGATGTGATTCACTCAAATTGAGAGAGAGAAGACAAAGACTCGCTTGTCCATAGTGGGTCCTTTAGTATCAAGCCCACTGTGTACTGTCCTGATCAATACTGTCTGAATCAAGGGCAAGGTTGACTAGTTCATTCAGAGACACGAGGTCATTCTAACACTTCACACACTTAGACTACAAGCAACTAGTCATCTGTCATCTAGGAAAGACATTAATATATGCTGAGGTCTATGGGCATTTTGCACAAGCTGCCAAGAAAGCATTACTTCATTTATGTTGGCCTTTTGAATTTCTTTTAGAGGGTCCATCAGAACCATCATCTATCTATGAACTGTCAGAAAGAATTGGGTGTGTAAGGATTAGGCATTTTATCTGCTGGGCATTTTGTCTGGGAGGTATGTATGGAGGCTTGCTTTGATGCAGGCCTGGTGCTAGCAAAGGTGAATGAGAAAGAGGGGCAGGCCCTGCTGGGACAGAGCTCACACGTTAGTGTAGATGTTAAAATTATACTCGCTTGCACACATAAATCCAGAGTTCCAGGTACACACTCTATTAGAAACCTCTCACCAAACTGTCTCCTTCTACATGTCCCCCAAATCAGTGCAGTCTGTCACAGTCCAGTAAAGGGCCAGGAATTCTTACATTCCCTTCTCATATAGCACACTCTTCCAGAAATTCAAGAATGACTTCCACTTCTGGGGCGAGGGACAGATAACGATGGTGGGACATTTATTAATGGAGTGAGTTTAAGAAAGCGAGTTATTTACTGTGTTTTTTGCCAGGTGACTTTCTGCACACTCCCATACCCACTTAGTCATGGTGCCTGTGCCAAGCTGCACCCAATAAACGTCTTCCTAAAGTCTACTTGAACTCAGTTGCAGTCCTGACTTGGGTGACTCCTGCCCCTCTTACCCTGACTTGAGCCTTCCCTGTGTTTTGAAGGAGATTGAGTTCAACATTCTCTCAGCCGCAGACTATTTCCATCATTATTCTGAAATTGCCTCTGTCTCAAGGCTCTCCGTTTCAGATAATGTCCACTGTGATGATTCCCCCGCCGTACAAGTTAGGCAGACTTCAGTATTCTATTGATTCCTTTCTATATGGAGATGGAAATAGCTCACTGGTCACAGTTGGGAATGCCCAGACCTTGAAAGGCCCAGTAATCATAAGACCTTTGTCACCAGACCTCAATGCCCGTATTGATGCCTGGCATGCCTTAAGATGTCATTTGCACTGATTTCATAGGCTCCCCTGCCCCCATAGCTGACGTTAGATAATGGTACATTGCTTCATAGTAAATCCATATGTGCATTCCTAGTTCCTAAGAGTTAACGTGCTAAAGATAGTTACCAGGGGAAGTGAAAAATAGCCTTCTCCTTACCAAAGGGTCATCTGTTCTGTGCTGGATTCTGTTAATAATGAACTTCTGTTGTCGATGGCGGAGTGTTTAGAAGGGGCTCTAGTTAAGAATTTAATTTTATTCCTCCTTAAATAGCTGAACGTTTGCTTACGTGTTTTCCTTTTAATGTATTGTAGCATTTTTTTTTTTTTTCTGTTTGTTTTCTGCCAGGTAGAAGGTTATCAGGATTGTCTTGGGGAGCTGTCCGTTTTGTGCCTTCAGGTTCAGCT